GATATAGCAGCGTTGAAATGCTATGAATGAAAACTAACTAATAGTATTTTTCAACCGCTATGAAAGATATTCATCATAGCAAAACACAAACGCTATTGAATACTCTTTTATAGCTACATAAAAACGCTATGGTTGGAACCTTTTTGCTAGCGTTTGGGGAAGTGCTATGTAACGCCAAAGACCTACTATAGCGGGTTCTGACACAGCGCTGGTTAAAACGCTATGAAATAATACCATAGTGTTTTTCGGCCGCTGTAGATGATTTCAGGTGGTGTAGTGTGTGATATCTCAAAAAATAGTAGGTAATCTTACCCACCTCTAGACTTGTGTCTCATATTCAACACCAAATCCCTTGCATACATGAGATAAGTTTATATTGACAATGTATCATCATCATCATCATCATCATCATCATCATTGATCAGAGATAATGTATTATTTAAATGATGATAGATTTAACAGCAATACTTTAACATATTTACGTAGTAGCAAACAAATTGCAGTTATTCATATTCGACTAGATATATAATGTCGTCAGTGCGTTCGTAAGGTTGGCAATGTTTGAACAATATAAATAACCTTTACCTTTTCAAAGATACATAAAACCAACCTTAGTCTAATCTTAGTCCCGTATATCTTGAGTATTTTGAAGTTAGCCTCTTAACTCGTTCAGAATGATAGTGGCTCACCCAATTATTATAAGTTGTAGCAAAATTAGTCCCTCAAATTATTGAATTTGTAATTAAATCTACTAATTTTGGTTTTTTTTCAAATTAATTAATCTCTCTAATCAAGAGTAACAATATCAAGATGTAAGGCTTGATAGTGCTATAATATCAATTTCAATAATTTGAAGAACTGATTTTGAAACAACTTACAGTAAGGAGAGAGCATCTCCAACAATGATATTAGGTTTTCCCTATATTTGAGGAGCAAATCTCTCATCCTAAGAAATAGGGAGCCAAATAATGAGCAAGTGTTCCAACAATGCTTCCCAAATGGCTCCCTATCTCATGTCCTAGACTAAATACAGGGAGTAGGAGAGGCGAAAATTGTTCCAACATTTCTTATCTTTGATTTGAAATACCAAATCATAAGCCCTATATTTATTCTTCATTATAGGAAGCTTGTTGGAGCCAAATTTTCCACTCATACTCCCTAAATTTACTCAAGGACATGAGATAGGGAAGCTCTTGGAGATGCTCTTATAGTTTTCTTAAAACCACCTTAAAAATAGGATTATATTATAGAAACCACCTCTAATTTTTATTTTATACGTAACCACCTAGTTTTTGTTCCGATAAACCACCTCAAAACCGAATCTTCACGAAAAAATAAAAAATAATCTTAAAAAGGCGAGTCACGTGTATTGAATAGGAGTTTTTAAGGGTATTTTTAGATTTTCAGTGAATATTTTAACCGGGAAATGGTTGATTGGAGTATAACCCACCTTGAAGGTAGTTTACGTATAAATTAAAAACGGAATGTAGTTTCTGTAAAATGATCATATTTTTAAGGCCTTTTCTAGGAAAAAGGAAACCTTTTGAATTATTTGAGGGGCTATAGCAAAAACGCTAAATTATTAGTAATGACCAAAAAACTATAAAGCTTTCAAAATACTCAAACAAAGAACCAGCAGATAGATAGTACATTTATTACATCATAATCATGTTAAGAATGACGTCACTCATGAGAGCTAGTGAGATCAGGACGAGGATTAGACGCACGTGGGAGTTAAATATCCGTGTGCTTTTGACTGTGTCCCATGACGTTCATGTTGTCATTAGTTTAGAAGTCCATGTTTACCGCAACAAAATCTTTGAAGACTTCTGTTAGAAACTCAATATCTCACCGTAATCTATTAGTTAGTCAACGCCAGACGCTTGAAACTTTGAAGGGCAACAAAGCCTGACGCAAAAGCAAAGGATAACTATGAAAAAAGTAGCTGACTATGAAATGAATAGATAGGAATTCTTCTCAACAACTTCTTTCAACTTTTTATTGACCTCTGGATGTCTAACGCACTTTAAAAAATCTCTGAAACTTCACTATGGACTCTAACCTAAATAAATGGTCATAGTTACAAATATAAAAGCTTTCTCGTCAGAAAACTAATCACAAAACGATGTTAATTTGTAAAAGAAGGTATTTACTTACAACGTTCTATAAGTAAATATCCTTTTTTTTTACAAACATCGTTAATTTGTGATTAATTTTCTGACAAGAAACTTTTTACGTTTGCAAATATAAAAAAAAAAAATCAGACTCAACCAAACAAACAACTGCAACTGTAAACGACTTGTATGCTTTTGTGAATTGCAAGTTACAGCTATAGTTGTAATTTTTTTGGGGGGGAACCGAATCAATCCCTTGAGCAGTGACGGACACATTGCTATATATATTTTCTATTATATCCGTATATTTTATTTTTAGTACAACGTGGATTTAGCCAGAAAGTTGATTCGCATGTTACTATTAAATTACATCCGAATGACGACCGATATTGAGACAACATCTGATATTTCACTTTTTACTTTTGGAAAATGATTTAAGGACCCAAAATATGGGACCAAGGGAGGGGACAGGTGAGGTGTCCCCTCCCTATTGCATAATGAGTTGGTCATACCAACTCATGCCAACTCATTATGCAATAGGGAGGGGACACATCACATGTCTCCTCCCTTGATCCTATATTTTGGGTCCCCGTAGCAGTACTCTTCACTTTTATATGCGAACAAAGACACCATGATCTGTATGTATTCTCCCTTGGTCATTCCACATTTTAAGCTCAACATTATAACTGGACCAAAGTTGTTATTGCAACAGGCCTGATCTGTAGTAAATGGGCTGTAGAAAACCCTGAGGCCCATGCTTTGTCAATAGAAACAAATACAATTTCTTTTTTCCCCCTTTTCTTTTCATTCTTTCTTTTTATGTTGGCGAAAATTGTGGCTATAAAGTGCACGCACATTCCTTCTTCCATTGACTGGGTTGTACGAAATCTAAAAGGCTTTTTACGTCCCACAACACTTCAGATCGGTAAAAATAAATAATCCTTTGTGGGCCAAAATCCTCGTCCGACAGGCCCATCTAAAAGTGCTATGCCAGATAAACGTTAGGAGAACTAATATCAATACACAGTTATGGGTTGCTTTTTCTCAGAGAACCGCTCCATATTTAGACCCTATTTACGTCACCATCCTTAAAGCCATCCTTGTCTATCATTTCATTATCATACAACCACCCATGTTTTTTTTTCTCATTTCTCCATCCGTATATTTAATTTTAGGGGGAAATGTGTTCAGGCCCCAAAAACAGAAACTCCATGTGACCCAACCTGTTATATTTTGGCCCATGTGATTTAGCACCAAAAAATAGCATTTAATGTTTCAAGGCTACTCCACATCAGCAGTACAAAAAAGAGATTGTATTTTGAAAAAAAATCGAAATTACCCCTCTGCTTATCTTCCTCAAACGCCTCTGGTTCCCAAAAATATGGAAAGCCACGTCCCATTAATGCGATCTGATAGAAAAAATGGAGGGAAATTTTTCACCATTTTAAAACTCTATCATGAGCAATAACTCATGTTAGTTCTAACTTATTTAATGTTAGTTCTAACTTATTTCATGTTAGTTCTAATTCATAATAGAGCTAACTTTAAGTGGAACTAACATTAATAGTTTGGCTACTTGGTCTAGTGGTAAAGCTTGGGAATTTGGAGAGGATATTAGGAGTTCAAACCCCTGCAACTATAATATATTTAAAGGTCTTTGATTGGGCATTGGGTGGAGCTCTTGGGCTCTTTGTTAGTTCTAACTCATTTTATATTAGTTCTCATTCTAATTCATGTTAGGTTTAACATAACTCACTAGAACTAACGCTTATATTAGAACTAATAGGAGCTTAACTAGAACTAACATACTACTAGAACTAACGCTTATATTAAAAATAACACTAGCTGCAATTTAGAACTAATACGATATCAGATAGAACTAACACGAGAGCCACTAGAACTAACAGAGTCTCAACTAGAACTAACAGACCACTAGAACTAACGTTTATATTAGTAATAACACAAGCTGGAAGTTAGAACTAAAATAAACTAACACGAGAACCGCTACAACTAACATGGGCTCAACTAGAACTAACATACCACTATAACTAAGGCTTATATTAGAAATAACACTAGCTGGAAGTAGAACTAATATGAAATCAGATAGAACTAACACAAGAACCGCTAGAACTAACAGGGGCTCAACTAGAACTAACATACCACTAGAACTAACGCTTATATTAGAAATAACAGTAGCTGGAAGTAGAACTAACATGAAATCAGATAGAACTAACACAAGAACTGCTAGAACTAACAGGGGCTCAACTAGAACTAACATGTGCTCAACTAGAACTAACATACCCCTAGAACTAACGCTTATATAAGAAATAACACTAGTTGAAAGTAAAACTAACATAAAATCAGATAGAACTAACACAAGAACCGCTAGAACAAACAAATGCTCAACTAGAACTAACATATCACTAGAACTAACGCTTATATTAGAAATAACACTAGCTGGAAGTATAACTAATATGAAATCACTTAGAACTAACATATTGTAACGATCATGTTTTCACGCATGGCTGCAGTCCAAGGTGAACCCAGAGATGTCAAACCTGCCATGCACCTCCACTGTGTAACAACATGTTTTACCAATCACAGTAATATCCTCTAGTAGAATCAAGTAGAAGTGAAGGTACAAAACAGGCAAATAATAGAAAAAATACAATAGACATGATGTAGAAAGGAATATCTCGTAATAAAATCATGTCCCAAATAAACTAAACTGAAATATAACTGATATACATCTGGAGTCTGAAATAACATGACATGTCTCAACATGGATCAACTACATCTGGAGTCTGAAATAACATGACATGTCTCAACATGGATCAACTAGAAATCGTACTAAGGCAACATGTCTTAACAATATGAGAATAACATGACATGTCTCAACATGGATCAACTAGAAATCGTACTAAGGCAACATGTCTTAACAATATGAGTACAAACTCAAATGACTTAAGGGAAACATAAGACTACTGTAGAGTCCATACTAGTAAAAATACGCGAAGGCGACTATGCAAAAACTCTGTCACCTTGCGACTCTCCGATGCTCTGATCCGCCTGAAAGTTAAAGTAAAAAAAAAGAAAAAAAAACAACAAGAGCGTCAGTGCGCTAGCAAGATTACCTTCATCCACCCCCGGGAAGTGCTACTAGATGTAGTGAAGGCTTTATCTATTAAGCATAGTCTACCTAAACCATTTTCCCGTATCTGATGGTATTAATACTTAGAAATCTACAACATGAGACGTAGTACGTCGAGCGAAATAATCCAAACAAGGAAACCCTCATGTATATACCGTATGTCTCAAGTTGTAGATAACTAAATATTAATCCCGAATTAAGCAATCCAAATATAAGTGGAAAGTAAAGCATCATAAACCAGCATATGTATCTCGTATATTCGCATAACCGGATATCTCAATCGAATACCTCAACAATGTATCATAATCACTTTTGGCGTCCACCAAAACTTAGATTATCAACAATCGTCACAATGCAACTCCATGCAAGTTCTGATTCATCGCATTATCATGCGGAACGGACTACCATGTTGGTATCCTAAATAATGTACACGGCTCATTAGTCTCATCGCATTACAGTGCGTAACCTAAGTGCGGAATGGACTACCAAATAGGCATCCTAGAAATACGGCTCACAAGCCTCATCGCACCCTAGTGCGGAACGGACTGCTAGATTAAGCATCCTAAGACCCGACTAAATGGCCTGTACGAAGGGTATATCAACGCCCCATCCCAAGTGGTATTGGGCGGTGCTCATTGACAAGTAGATATCATCGCGATATCGTGCGGATCGACAACTATCACAGGTACTTCGACCACTTCGCACGCTCGTGCGGATAAACAACTAACATAGGTGCATCAACCTCTTCGCACGCTCGTGCGGATAAACAAATACGTGTAGTGGAGTGAATTTCATCACGGTCTCATCTACGGTTCACGAACTAACTCAGAAACTCAAGAGTGTAATCGTAACCATATTTTATCATAATCACCAAAGGATACTCACATATATATTACTACATATTCATGACAGTAAGTGTAGCAATCGAGCGGCTTAAACTCCGCGAACACATCTCAAAACGGCGCAAACAATCTCTAGAAAAGAAGAAACTGGGCCAAACTGCCCGGAAAATGGTTGGCGCTACTGTTAGTAAAATGAACATATCTTTCTCTAGGAAAACTATTTTTTATGAATGACTTCCTGTTTTAAAAACTAGATTCACACATATTTCAATTGGAACTATTTTGGTTCAGTTTGAAGTTCAATATCAATACCAGTTTTTAGTTGAAGTTGCATACACGTGCAGCAGTTTTCTGCAGGACATGTCATTAATAAAAAGAGTCTATCTTTCTCTATACAAACTCTTTTTTAGATTTGTTTTCTGTTTTAGAAACTAGATTCACATATCTTTCATTTGGTACTAGTGTAGTTCAATTTGGAATTCATTACCATACCCAGTTTTCTGTTGAAGTCTACACATGTGCAGCAGTTTTCTCTGCAGCATGTGTTATTAATAAAAAGACTATATCTTTCTGTATGCAAACTCTTTTTAAGATTTGTTCTCTGTTTTAGAAACTAGATTCATACATTTTTCATTTGAAACTAGTTTAGTTCAATTTGGAGTTCATTTACTATCTCAAATATCCAGTTAAACATAACACATGTGCAGAAGATTTTCTGCAGTTTTGCTAATTTCATACATATGTGTTTATATATATATACTCATACTTATACTCATTGATTTTGATCTTGTTAAAGTAAGAGAGAGAGAGAGAATCTTGGGTAAATTTCCCTTGAATTGAATATTGAGTGTGCACATATATTTATACAAGTAGAGGAGTGTGAGGTTTGTTCTCCCAAGCAATGTGGGACTAAAACCCACTACAATACACTATTATCAACAGCCCCCTTCAAACTCATGTTGGATCAAACAAAGTGAGTTTGCGTACAAGAAACTGGAACCGATGAACAGGTAAGGCCTTTGTGAAGAAATCTGCAAGCTCGTCAGCGGATGAAACATGAGGAAGTAGAATTGTCTTGTCCTTGATAACTTGGTGACGGACAAAATGAGCGTCGATCTCAATATGTTTGGTCCTTTCATGAAATACTGGATTATTAGCAATCTGGATGGCACTCTTATTATCACAGTAGAGAGGAGTAGGAGTCGTAACAGAAATACCGAAATCACTGAGAAGGCGACGAAGATGAATAATCTCTTTAGCTGTTGTGGACATTGCACGATACTCTGCCTCAGTACTGGAAAGAGCAATAACATCTTGTTTCTTACTTCGCCAGGAAATAAGGGAATCACCAAGAAATATACAATAACCTGTGGTAGACTTTCTGGTAGTTGGATCACCAGCCCAATCAGCATCAGAATATGCACAAAGCTCTAACTTAGATGTAGCAGGAAACAAAAGTGAGCGAGTGCTAGTACCCCGGAGGTACCGAAGAATCCGTAATAAGACAGCATAGTGTACAGAACGTGGGGCACTAACAAATTGACTGACAATACCAACAGCATGAGAGATATCTGGTCGAGAGATGCACAAATAGACCAACTGACCAACAAGATGTCGATATCGGGTAGGATCAGATAGAGGCTCACCGTCAGTAGAGCAAAGTTTGACATTCTGCTGGAGTGGAGTATCGACAGTTGTATTATCAGTTAACTCAGCTTGATTTAGAATATCTGAGAGATACTTCTGTTGAGACAGTAATACACCCCGCGGGCCTTGAGAAATTTCTAGACCAAGGAAATACCGAAGAGATCCAAGATCCTTCATGTGGAACTGTTGTTGCAACTGAGATTTTGCGTATTGTATACCTGTCATATCATCACCTGTAATGATCATATCATCTACATAGATGAGTAATAAAACCCTGCCACGCGATGTAGTGCGAACAAACAGAGAAGCATCTTGATGACTTTCTATAAAGCCCGCTTTGAGCACAACATCGCGAAAACACTCAAACCAAGCGCGGGGTGCCTGTTTGAGACCATAAACAGCACGACGAAGGAGACATACATGTCCCGGAGGAATATTTGACCCTGGAGGCGGTTGCATATATACGGTCTCTGATAAAGAGCCATGAAGAAAAGCATTTTTGACATCCATCTGGTATAAGGGCCAACGATGAGCAGCAGCGACCGCAAGGAGAGTACGCACAGTGGGCATCTGAGCAACAGGAGCAAAGGTCTCCTCATAATCAATACCTTGTTGCTGAGTAAAACCTCTAGCCACTAAACGAGCTTTTCGACGTTCAATGGTGCCATCAGGACGAAACTTGACCTTATAAACCCATTTACTGCCAACAAGAGAGATCCCAGGAGGACAGGGAACAATATCCCAGGTATGAGTTTGCTGAAATGCTTGAAATTCCTCAGCCATAGCTTGTCGCCACTCTGGAATTTGAACTGCCTCTTGGAAGGACTTTGGCTCAACAATAGTATGAATGGCAGCAAGAAAGTTATGAAAGATAGGTGAATAAGAAGTAACAGAAGCATACCGGGCAGGCATGACATGTGGGCGTTTGCCTCGACGAAGAGCAAGAGGAACCTCAGGCGGGGGAGATGCTGGCGCAGGTGCATGAAGATCAACAGTATTTTCTGGAGTGAGAGTTGTGTCCACAGGATATGGATTAGATGGTGTAAGAGAAGACTCAGGTGAGGAAGAGTCAACAGAAGGAGAGGGAGAGATGTCAGGGAGATCTCGAAAGGAAAATTGAGGTGAAGAAGTGGGTGATGCAGTGGACGGGGAAGCATGATCGGTAGAGTGGAGGAAATTAAAGTCATCAGAAGTAGAATAATATGGAGAATCCTCTTCGAACTGAACATGACGAGATATATGAACTCGACGAGTTGCGGGATCATAACAACGATAACCTCGATGTTCTGAACTAATTCCTAAATAAACACAAGAAACTGCTCTGGGAGACAATTTATCACGTTCGTGAGATGGCAGAAAAACAAAACATCGACAACCAAAAACGCGAACTAGATCATAACGGGGAGGATGAGTATAAACACGACTATAAGGAGTAGCACCGGAAAGAGAGCTAGATGGAGTGATATTAATGGCATGAGTCGCGGTGAGAATAGCCTCAGCCCAGAAACGACGAGGAACAGAGTAAGAAATGAGCATTGATCGGGCAGTATCGAGGATATGACGATGTTTGCGTTCAGCAACACCATTTTGCTCATGAGTGTAGGGACATGACTGTTGAAAGATAGTCCCATGAGAGGACATGATAGAGCGCATGGCAGAGGATAGGTACTCTTTGGCACAATCAGAACGAAAAACTTTAATACGAGATTGCCATTGAGTGAAAATCATAGCAGTGAAGGCTTGATAAGCAGTAAGTACGTCAGAGCGATTCTTAAGTAGGTAAACCCATGTAAAACGAGAGAAATCGTCGATAAAACTAACATAATATAAGTAGCCAGATGAAGAAGGCAAAGGAGCTGGCCCCCAAATATCAGAATGTACTAAATCAAATAAGGAAGTGGATACAGATGTACTCATTTTAAATGGTAAAGCAGTGAATTTAGCCAATTTGCAACCAGCACATGACTCAATACTAGAACTAGATGATACAGGACCAAGTACTCCAGACTGAATAAGACTCTCCAGCCTTTTATTACACACATGACCAAGTCGTCTATGCCATAAATTGGCAGGAAGCGAGGTAGAGGGTTTTGACGAACAAAGAGAAGCAACAAGAGAACGTGGACGTATGGACTCTGGAAGGTGAAGATATTCCAGAAAATACAGTTTGTGCCTCCTACGACCCGCCCCAACCGTCTTGCCCGTCTGTGGATCCTGCACAATACAAGTATCAGAAGAAAATGAGACAAACAGGCCCGCCATGCATAAAGAGCTAATAGAAATTAAATTCAAGCACAATTGTGGAGCCACATAGACGGGACCAAGTGTTAGACGACCAGATGGATCATTTTGTGGGGTAATAGAGCCATACTGAGTAATGGACAATGGTTGTCCAGCAGCTGTGTAGATAGGAGGAAGAGAGGATGAAG